AAAAAAAATCCAGAAAGGACATTTTGTTCTTACATGAGCAAGTTAAACCTTTTAAATGGTAGAAAAGCAATATGTAGAAGTAGCAATTTGCACTGCATTTTTATATATCACAGCCATTACACGTAACATTTCTACAGTGAAAAAATAGACTGTCTTTGAACATAATATGAACAAATAAGCAAATTTTTTCTTTTAAATTCATTGACTGATATTCTTTGTCTTTTTTTTTTTAAAAAAAAAAAAAGGAAAAAATACACTATTTAAAAAAAAAAAAAAAAAGGTAATGTCACTTGTTACAGTTACATCGATACTTTAAAGAAAGCCACTCACAGTATTTGCCATTGGATGCACCTTCCTGGATCTTTCCCAGTTCTTTTACAGCTGGGGCACGTTGGGAGCTGTGCCAGGGGGACAGGGTGGGACTGGGAGCGTGGTGGGAGCCCTGCCGAGGTGGTACTGGGGGAGCTGTGAGGTGGTTACTGGGATAGTCCTGAGAGTAGCTCCACGTGGCTCCCAGAGGTGAGGGGCTGGCAGCGAGAGCCACTTGGATGCTGAGAATGAATTTACTGGAAACAGATTTCTCTGAGAGCGTTTCTGGGGCTCCTGGCAGGGAGATGCTCCCAAAGCAGGAGCTGGGGTGGGGGGAGGCACAGCTGCTGACAGCAGGAATGGTGGGGTGTGAATGTGCAAAGAGCCTGGGGAAGGGGCTGCCTCTCTTCCTGGGGTGTCCCCACCCTGCTCCAAGGAAAGCCAGATGTGCTGGGAAGGGGACCAGAGCCAGCAGTCAGAGACCCCCAGCCCAGGTCCCACCACTGCCACCCCACACAGCCAGCTCCGGCGTTTGGTATTTCTCTCTCTCTCTCTTTCTCTTTCTCATTTTAAATATCCTAAAAAATAAATTTTGGAATTAGAAGAAATGAGGAATGTTCCAAGTATTCAAAATGTGAGCTATAAAACCTCTGGCGTGGCAGGGGCGTTCCGTGGGTGCTGTTTGCAAGGTGCCTGCAAGCCCAGAATCCTCCCAGTGCTGATACTGAGGTTATTAAGACTCCAGCTAGAAGAACTCCTGACCCTAAAAGTTTGCCCAAGTGTAGAGATTTTAGTTCCTTCCCTTCCACAGAACACCTTCAATTCTGCAAGTGACTTCCTTTAAAGACTGCCAACTATATTAGTAAATAAACTGAACTCTAATGATGTAACCAAAGTCGGTTGTTTGCTTGTTTGTTTTTTTTTTCCTTCCCTTCTCCAGCAAGAAACGGGTTTTCCCCCAGGTGTGTTTTAGCTTTTGGATCTGTTTCCACCGTGTCCACACGTCCTCCACAGCGAACACCACTTGAGGTAACAAGAGCAGTTCACCACTTCAAGCAGCCCCTCAAGCACCTCCCGAGCTGCCTCTGGGCGGGCCAGGTTACACCATGGAGTTCCCGAAGGGGTGTTCCTTCCAATCCTCCCCCCTGCTCCCCGATGCATCGTCCAGATGAAAAGGTACTTCTTCTGAGTCAGTTTTGTAAGTTCAAGCGCTCCTCCTGGGTCAGAAGAGGCCTTCCAGGACTGAAGTGGTCGGTAGAGTCTGCACAACGATGGCTTTTTATGTTGCATAGTGATCAAAACTCCCCAGGTACTCCAGGGCTGCCTGGTAACAGAACTGGTATTCGTCCTGCCAAGAGCAAAGAGAACCAGCTTCAGAGGTGGGAAATGGCCCCTTAGGATCTGCTTTCCAGACAGCACAAAGCTGAGCAGGAACCTCCCAGATTCTCCTGGGAGAGGGAAGCCCAGCCCTTCCCGTTGGGTCTGTGTCTCTCGGGCACCAAACATCTCCCCCCTCCAGCCAGGGTGGGCAGGTGAGTCCCCCCCACACCCCAGAGGTGGGGATGAGGTAGGAACTGAGGCTGCCAGACTGGGAGGAGATCTTTAAGAGACTTTAGAACAATAGGAATTTGTATTTATTTAGTTATTTAGTATAAAATCAGAAGCTGTTTGCTGACAGCTGGGACAGGGGCTTGGTCTGTGCTTTAAGGTCCCCCCCAAACCCCAACCCATTCCATGATTCTTAAGGCAGGAAGGACTTTGGCCGTGGCCAGGGCAGCCCAGGGCTGTGGCAGGGCAGGGTCCCCACCCCCCTCACCTCTGTTTGCACCATCGCAGGTCGTTGTGTTCGCAGCATCTTTACAGTCTGGAAAATATCTACAACCCCCTCGTAGCGCATCCGCTCCAGGACGATGCTCAGGGTGATGAACACTCCGGTCCTGCCCACGCCAGCACTGCAGGAATGGCAGAAAAAAAAACAAACAGGGAATTGGATGTTACAATGTTCAAACGTTCCTGTAAACGCTGAGGTCGGGGTAGAGTTCAGCTGTGCCTTGTGAACACGGTGGAAGTGGAGAGTCAGCCCTCCAGGATAAATATCCAGAAATGGCCAGAGTTGTGACCCAAAAAAACGTTTGAGAAAGTGAAATAAAAAAAAAAATTAAATTAAAAGCTTTGGGTAGTGGTAAACAGCATTCAGCGGGAACATTATTACTATGATGTAACATTAAAATTAAATATTTTGAAGAATGGATCATCCTCTCCTGCCCATGGAGTACAAAATTCTTGCTGTCAGCAAGCATTAGTGGTGCAGAACTGGGCTGAAAGTGGTAAAAAAATATTTCTAATTTTGCAGGTTAAATATGATATATATTACATACATTATATATATATAACACTAAAGTTCCCATCTCCTCCAAAGTATCAGCATTTCACACCCCTCCTCTATTTAGAGGGGTCAAAAGCCTTGAGGGCAGTGCCCAGGGCTGAAGGGAAGTGAATCTGGGTGGCAGAAGCAAGTGTTTATTAGCACTGACACCCCCAAGAATTCTGCCTGCAAGGATGGGGTGGGAAAGGGGTGGGGGGAGAGATATCTGGATTTGAATTCCTTTTGCATCCCCAGACGAACGAGGTGTTTCCATTTGCACCTGGCCTACCTGCAGTGGACAGAGATGGGGCCATCCTGGCCAAACTGCTCCTTGGTCTTGTGTACCTGTCCAATGAAGTCGATAAAACCCTCTCCTGATTTTGGCACACCTTGTTCTGGCCAGTCAGTGAACTGGAACTGACGAACAGTTCGTGACTGCCCGTCCTGGGGGAGAAAACAGGAATAGTTAAAACCTCCTGCACTTGTGAGAACAAATGGAAAAGGCAAAGAAATAAATATATAAAAAAAAAAAAATCCCTTGCTAGTTTGTTAAAGGGCACAAAAAGTTGAGCCAAGTCTGTGTTCTAGTCAAGTGCACACGTATTTATTATCCAGATCCACCATGATGAAGCTGCTTATGTTGCACTTGACATTCCCAGAGTCGGCCTGTCAGCACAGATCCATATCCTGGCAGGTGCTGAAAGCTCTGACCACTGCAGACAGCACAGATGGAGTCTTCAGCAAGGGAACATTCAAGGTGAGGTGATGGCCCCTCTATCAATCTTCACAAAGCGTTGCCACAGTGTCAGAATTACAGCTGACAGGAAGATAAATCTTGTTCTACGAGGACTGATGAGGCACCCTCCTTCTCAACCTTGCAAATTGAATTATCAGGTTTCTGGAATACTCTGACAACCTCAAAAGCAACGACTCTGCTGTGAGAGGGAGGGTTGCATTTGCTAAACAAATTTGAGAAGGTATTGAAATGTTCCTTTGGATGAGGAATCTGACATCGAATCGAAGATTATTGGAGTCAATGTGTTCCTTTGAACATGACTGACAGCCAGACAAGTGCACGTTTTCTGTAGGGTGCAGAGAATCCTTTGCAAGGTTTTCATTAGTTTTTTGGGGGAAATATTTTCTGCTTTCATCTCGAGCAAACCCAAAAGCCGGGCACGTCTCTAACGAAGTGACTCACGGCTGTGGGAGAGCTTAGGAAGTATTTTCAATTTGTAGGAACAAATAGTCAGGCACAATCTGTGTGTGTGTGTGTTCTGTTCCTCATCATAGCTGAGCTCTCGGGCACACAGTGGGATTCTTGGGGTCGTCACAGCATCACTGAGGTTGGAAAAGACCTCCAAGGTCATGGAGTCCAAGCTGTGCCCGATCCCCACCTTGTCCCCTTCCAACCACGATACTCTATAAACTCTCCTCCACTGATAATCCCCGACTTTCCCAGGAGAAATGTTTTCACCTCAGCCTTCCCTTAAAGAGAGCCAAACCCACCAAACCCCATGTTCTGGGCCAGCCCCCCTATCCCCTGAACTGCAGGGGTTCAAGCTGCTCCCAGCCCAGCACTCACCCTGGCATCCGTGACCTTGAATTCCCGCAGGATGTACTGGGGCATGTTGTACTCTGCCATGGGATCCACGACGAAGTACTGGTACCGTGCCGAGCGCTCCGCGGGCCAGTACTGATGGCACTTTTCCTGCCCAGGGGGACAAGACAGGTCCCTGTTAATCCTTGTCCTGCAGGACTGTCCCCAACCCTGCCCCCTCGGCCCCCCACTCACCCGCCCCATCTCGCGAAGCTTCGTCAGCATCACGACGATGGTGGAGTTGTTTTCCCACAGCATCCGCCAGAAATCCTCGGTGGTCTCTGCCAGCGGCCCCTGCGTGGCAATGTAGGCCTTCTGCTGCCTGGGGGAGAGCCCAGAGCAAGGACAGGGGTCAAGGGATGGCAGAACTGCCCGGGCAGGAGCTTTGGGAAGTGCATGGAAAGGCTGGAGAGCAGGAGAGCAAATGGAGGGCTGGGTCGCTGCAGGGGATCAGTAATTTATGATTCTCCCACAGGGGGGAAAAACTTTATCAGCAGGCTGGATTGGGTGTGGGAATTTACCCGTGGCACTGCACTGCTGTGGTGACACAGAACAGGCCAAGTGTTCAGCCCCTGGTCCAGCCCCACCCCACGGGCTCAGACAGACCCTCAGACGGACACCCCTGGGGCAGGAGGTACCTGTAGCCATCGATGAAGCTGGCGTTGATGTAGTCAGAGCCCTCCACGCCCCGGATGGGCTGCAGGCACACCCGGGTGGTCTCGTAGGGCATGATGTTCACCAGGCGGTTCTTGAACTTGTTGCAGGGGAGGTTGGCGCTGATGAAGCGGGAGGTGTGGGCTTTGGAGTTGGCCAGGCGCTGAGGGCACACAGAGCACAACCATCCCCTCAGCCTTGCTGTTCTCCTGACCCCTGTGCCAGCCCTCTGTACTGCCCCTCCCTGTTGTACCAGCTCCTGTGGGGTTTTTTTTTTTGGGGGGGAGGGGGTGGTAGGGACAAAGTCTGAGCCCTTTCCCCCAAGCAAAACTTTTAGAGCAACAATAAAAACCCCAACCGGTTAAAAAACACAATTTAAGAGGGAGCAAATTCAATCTCAACTGGAAATGACCAGAGGAGCCTCCAGCAGTGACAGGCAGCTCTCTCCCCTGGGAACTGCAGCAGCTCAGCTCAGAAAAGTAATTACCTCTAACACGGCACCAGAAAAGCTCCCGTCAGCCCCGCAAAGGCTCCGTGTCTGCCCTGCCTGAGCGCCACAACAACGCTCCAGTGAGGAACACTGAGCCCTCCCCAGCGCCCCTCACCTTGAACTCCAGCTCCATGCCCGTCACGTGCTCCCTGGCTTCGATCTGGGCCAGTTTCTGGATGTAGCTGTAGAGGTTCCGAGCTGGCACCTCGGTGTTGCCGCAGGCGACGGCCTCGAGCAAGGCATCGTGGATGAAGCTGTACTGGTCCTCCGTCTGCACCATGTAGTTGCGCTGGGACCTCATGAGAGTGACGTGCCCGTAAATGTCCACGGTCTTCTCATGCTTGATCCTCTCCAGCATGGCATCGATCACGATGAAGCAGCCGGTGCGCCCGACGCCCGCGCTAGGGGACGAGAGGGAGGGAGGGAGTTGGGGAGGAAGGGGTGGATTATTCTGCCACTCAGAAGGTTCAGAAATCCTGGCAAACCAGCCAAGAATTGGTGGGGTTTGGGGCTTTCCTGTGCAGGGCCAGGAGTTGGACTTGGTGATCCCTGTGGGTCCCTTCCAACCCACGAGATTCTATGGGTGTGGGTTCAGCCACAGGATGATTTTTGTTGAATTAAAGCAACTTGTCGGATGGGACTGGTGCTGGGAGTGCTCCTGCCCACTCCCCTCAGCGTGCTGCTCTTGATCCAGGTTGGAAACACTGTGTTTGGAGGGTTTGGAGAGGACAGAGGTGACACCAAAGTCCCCGCTGCTCTGTGTCACCTGCTGTGTGAGCACAGTGCTGCACTGGGGTCAGTAAGGTCTGCACTGGAAACTAAAACCCCATTTACCCCATTTATCTGCTCGGGCCAGTGCTGCCACACCAGCAGGGAGGGGCTGCTGGGACAGACCAGTGGGTGGAGAAGCCCCTGTGCCCCACACAGCAGCACAACCCAGAGAGTTTGTGACGTGCAGAGGTTTGCTTTGAGCAGCTCACTTTGGCCAGCACTTCCCAAACTCAGCTTTTACGTCACCCCAGGGCAGGCTGCAAGGGGAACAAGCTGCCTCTGGTGAGGTGCCTGCTGCCCCTCCACACTGCTGTGCCCGTGGTGTCTCCTCACCTGTGACACCCTGGGCAGACACGGCTGTGCCAGCTCCAGCTGGGGCTCCAGGCTCGAACACAGGGCTGGCAGGATGTAGGGGCTGAAAAAGCCTGTTTAATCACTCAGATCTCTCAGCAGTGAGAAGGCACTGATGTGGTAATGAGTAACACACCTCACCTCTCTTCCTAAATGTTTTTGTGCACCGGGGTAACATCAGACCTGTGTGTAACAGCATTTGCACCCCAGCAGGGCTCACTGCTCTGTGCCTTTGCCACAGCTAATAAAGGGCTTCCTTTTACCATTCCACTGCTGTCCCTTTTTTCATGGAGCCCCCTTGATCTCTGTTAATTAGAATGCCTAACACCTGAACCAAGCAGGTGACTGGAGCTTTGGCAAGAATTTAGCAGCTGATCTGGGAGCTGGTCGTGAGCTGACAGCTCCTCTTTATTCATTTTCAGAGGTGCACAACAATTGCCATCTGCAAGGGCAGTGATAAGTTGCCCACTCACAAAGACTGTTTGAATGGCATCCTCTAGCAGAGGCAGGATTAGCTTCTCCAGCAGCCTGCACAATTCAGAGCTTCCCTGAGTGCTGAGGAACCCGCAGGCTCCTCCACACCCTCCTGAGGAACACGGGGATTTATCTGCATTGAGGCTTCAAGCGCTCCTCCTTGGGTTGTAAATTGAATTAGGGAATTCTACCTGCCTTCAGCTTGGCATTATCACGGTGGCTGCAGCTCTCAGAAAGCCCCTGTCAGTCACTGCCAGCTCTGCCTTGGACAGCTGTGGCAGCTCTGCCTCCCCAACACCCCACACAGCTTGGAGGTCACACCTGAGCCTCCCTCCTTTCCCACTGTGACCTCAAACAACCCCATCATGCAGAACCAGACACCAGTACAGCACTAGGCACTTCCCCCTGCTTGACAAGATCATCAGACCCCAGAATGGTTTAGGTTGGAACGGACCTTAAAGCTCATCCTGTCCCACCCCCTGTCCTGGGCAGGAACACTTGGCACCAGACCAGGTTGCCCCAAGCCCCATCCAACATGGCCTTGGGCTCTTGATCCAGGTGGTTTGTTGCAAACCACACCCCTCACCATCTCAGGAAATGCTGTGCTCAGTGGAATCCCCAGGTATCCTCCTCAGATGCTGCCTGGGAATCCTCACAGGACACTCTTGCCCAGGAGCTGTGTCTCCCACGCGCAAATCCACACCCTCCCGACCTTCTGCCTCCCCCCTGCAAGATCCAGGTGAAGGCAACTGGTACCTGCAGTGCACCACGATGGGACCAGCGTCAGGGGGGTTGCAGGTTTTCACCCGTCTCAGGAAAGCCAGGAACGGGGTGGGATACTCGGGAACGCCGTGGTCGGGCCACGCCGTGAACTGGAACTGCCGCACCTCCCGCTTCTCACTGGAGCCGTTCTGCAGGGGACAGAGGAGCACCAGGAGTCGGGGGGGGGGGGTCCCTGCACCCCCACAACTGCCTGGAGTGTGCCATACCCCACCTCCAGGGAAAAGCAGGAGCAGGAGCGAGCTCACCTTGTGAAGGGAGAACGTCCGGACGCAGAAGGTGGCCAGTTCGATGGTGTCCAGCAGCGTCACCTGGATCATCCCGTAGGTGTCCGTGCCTCGGCCTGGCCAGTACTGGTCACACTTTATCTGGAAGGCAGGAGGGATGGCTCAGTGCTGGGACAAACCCTTCGCTGCTGGGGAAGCTCAATCCCAAACTGCCCTGATGGTTACGGGTGCCAAAGGGAAGGGGAGGCACAAGAAATGCTTTTCCGGAGCAGCAGGACAGGGACAGACCCAGCAGGAAAAGCTCCCACTGACTTAAGCACAGGCTTTGATGCCACATCAATCCCATAGACAGCAGACTGGAATGATCCTGGAGATTAGAGGGAATGTACTTGGGCTTGTTAAACAAGAGAACTGATGTGAAACTTGCCACACGATTAACTCCGAGACAGAACCACGGAGCAGGCAATGCGATCTTCTCCTGGAGCTGCAAAGGAGGCTGCACATTTCCAGGGTGGATGGGTTGTTTTTTAAAAAGCAATGAATCACTGAACTTTCAGGGTGCTGGCAAAGCAGGCAGAAATCCCCCACTGGCTGCACATCAAAGGGATTTGCTATTCCCCAACTCTCCCCTCCAATCCCCCAGGATTATGACTAACCAGTCATCCCTCTCATGCATCTTACCCGTGATTTCTCCTCCAGCTTAGTCATCATAACAATAGTAGCTGAACGCTGCTCCCACACCATCCTCCAGAAGTCTCCAAAGGTCTCTGGCAGAGGCCCCTGAGTGGCAATGTAGGCGTTCTGCTTCCTGTAGCCATCGATGTAGTTGGCATTGATGTAATCACTGCCCACAATTCCTGGGTGAAATCACAAAATCAGGGAACTGCACAGGACTCCATGCAGCAGGAAGCACGAAATCTTTGCAGGGATGTTGTCAGAGAGAATTCCCTTGCAGGAACACCTTCATGGCTTGGTGGGTCAGAATCAGAGCTGGGAAGAAACAGGCTCTTTGGTGTGTTTTTCCCAGCTCATGCTCCTGCATTGCAGGGAGACAAGTAACTCCTTGCAAAAGATATTAAAGAGAGCAAATATCAAGCCTTGAAATCATGGGCTTTCTACTGATGCTGGGGCCAACAGGAGCAAGGTCTTGGCCCAGGGCTCCTGCTGCACTGGTCCCCAACAGGACAAACCCAAGTCCTTGTCCCAGCACGCCCTGAGCCCAGGCACCAAGTGCACCTGCTCGATGACTGTGTGGCCCATAACTCAATCCCAGGCAGTGAGCTACAGCTGGACAGTGCAAGCAATAAAACCAGGCTTGATTCAGACAGTGAAGGATTTGAAATTACAGGCTTTGACTCACTGTAAATTGCCTGTTGTCATTTTTAGGAGCGGGTTTTTTTCTACCCGCATGAGTTACAGGCTATTGAGCTACAGCTGCTCGCCTGGGTCCTTTGCTTGAGGGTTTGGGATGAGCAGGAGGCACTGCCAGAGTGAAGAGGGTGATCGGGACATGGCAGGAGAGAGCTGCTCTGAAGTTAAAATGGACCCTGGCAAGCAGTGCTGCTCGGGTTCAGCTCCAGAGAGCTGCGCCTGGCACGGGGCTGGTGGGTGGTTTGGCCCGTTCCTGATTCCAGCCGAGCGGCTGGCAAGGCTGGCAGGATCTGCTAAGCCGTGATTAACTCGGTGCAGAGCCCCTCCCTGCTGTCTCGAGGGGAGCCAAGGGCGGGGGGCAGCACCAACACAAAACTGGGCTGCAGCAAAAGGCACCGGCGCTGCGGGCGGGGTGCGAGCCCAGGAACCGCCTGCCAGTCCTCAAGGGCACTCAGCATTTCAGCTGCTGGTAGATATTATGGCTTTTGATTGAATTTCTGGAGGGTTCCCTGCCCCCATTCCCTCGCAGCCTGAAGTTTCAGGAGGGAAGGAAGGCAGGAATGTGATCAAGGCTGAGCTTCCCGAATTAATCTCCTCTCCAGCCCCCTCGGGTCCACTCTGTGATTTAAGGTGGTGGCCGTGGGCTCCTGCAATGCTTTGCTGTGTGACAGGCCCAGCTTCAGAGAAGTCACACAGTTAAAGCTGTTACTTCTTCCTGACCAAGCAGACATTCTGCAGCCTTGACAAATCCAAATTTAAAAGAAAGGGAAAGCTACAACTGATTCCTCCGTCTCCTTTCATCTTCCAGCCCTGAGCATAAAACAGAGCCCGGTAGGAAGGAGCACACCAGCCAAGACATGTCAGAACCTCTCAGATGCTTGAAAATTCAACCTTGGCCCATCATATTTGCACCACTGGTCCCCTCCAGAGCCCCTGGGCAGAGCTGGGACTGCTGCCTGCATCCAACCCCCTGATCCAACACCAGCCCAAGTGTCCTTCAGTCCTACACTTGTGCTCTTCTCCTTTCCCTTGAATGACAAGGCAACTTTTTAAAGCCTCTGCTTTCCTTGGCTCATACAATATTAATCTCAGAATTAAACCAAGCCAGAACAGAGTCAACTTCACAAGGAGAAACACTTAAAGCCCTCTAATAGCAGACCAGACCAACGCAGATTCGTGCAGTTTTCTGCCAAGTCACCACACTCTGCTGCTGCCTCAGGACCAGCTCTCCCTCTTCTCCATGTCCCTCGGAGTTACTGTGGCAGAGGGAGATTATTCCAACGATTCCCTGCTCACAGAGGTGCCTGAATTAACCTCTCCATTCACCAGGCAGTTACCAGGACATCCCACATCCTCTCTGCTCCGATGATCAGCTCCCGGCAACGCAAGACTGGCCTCGAACGCTTTATCCCCACGGCGCAGCCACAACCTGAGCCCGTGAAAACTCCAGCATTATCTCGGCAGCAGCAGCCCAAGCAGGTGCCCTGTTTAACTCCATCTCAAGCCCCTCTTATCCTGGCGTGCACCGGAGCAGCTCTGTCAAGAGCCGTGAGTTGTGAAATTTAATGTAAATTTTCTGACTGCACCATCGCTCACAGAAGCGGCTCAGGAAACAATTTATGACCCACAAGGCTCACGCTAACCCCTTCTTATCCCGAGCCTTTTAGGAGCCAGGATATGCAGCAGGAGCTGCATATCAAGTGATCTTTCTGCCTGTGCTCACATTTGTACAATTAGCCCTGTGTTACCTCTCATTCATCCCTGTACAGCCACGCTCCGTGTTCCCTGCCACCCACCACCCCCTCCCTGCTCCCTCTAAAGCATTATGTGGTCTGAATCCTTCCTGTTAGTCACAGACGTATCAAACAGGGATCTCCAAGCAGAGGGAAGACAGTTCCTTGATAAACCAGCCCTTGAAATGAGGGATTGCAGCTCCAGGGAATATGTCAGTCACCGGGATTTAACAAACGCCCGGTTTACAGAGGTATCTCCTGCTCGCTAAACTCCCAGGGAGATGCTAAGGGAAGAATATATAAATAGAGACGAGGGGAAGAGCATGTGAGATGTGTTTCCCTGCAGCAGCTCCACCCCAGCACGAACTCGTGGGAGCAGGGATGCTCCTTACCTTCGATGGGCAGCAGGATGACACGCGAGTGGTCGTAGGCGATCACGTTCGCGTAGCGGTTCTTGGGCTTGTTCACTTCGAGGTTGGAGTGCTCCCAGGTGAACTGCTGGCCAGGGTCGATGGACTGGAGGGATTGGGGAAGGAAATGGAAGGGTCAGCGAAGAGCAAAGCAGCAAAGCAAGCTCTGAATCCCTTGCCCCACGTGGGACATCGTGGCTCTGGAGATCTCGCTGGGGAGCGCAGCGATCGCTGTTTGTTTCCCCCGGCTCTGCTGTGGGAAAGCCCCCCATAGCACAGCTCATGTCCCATCTCCCCTGGCCACCCAGAGAGGTAATAATCCCCCTGGTTTGATGCAACCCCGTGGCAAAAGCATCAGTGCAATTCCAGGCTGCACTGGGTTAGTTACAGCCCTGATAAACATCAGGAACTGGGAGATAACAGGAACGAGCACATCAGTGTATTTAGGGAGTGATCAAGAGGCCAAATCTGTGCATGGTTAAACTACACCATGATTAAGAGGGCGAAAATGTGTCAGTGTTTTGGTGAGTGCTAATACCTGGGGAAGAAGATATTTAAGATATTTATGACCGTGTGTACAAACGGGATATGAAACATCAGGGGAAACAGGGGCTTACAGGAAAGCTGGAGAGAGACTTTTCATAAGGGCTCGTAGAGATATGACAAGGGGGAATGGCCTTAAGCTGAAGGAGAGTAGATTTAAATTAGAAATTGGAAAGAAATTCTTCCCTGTGAGAGGGAAGAAGCCCTGGCACAGGCTGCCCAGAGAAGCTGCGGCTGGCCCATCCCTGGAAGCATCCAAGGCCGAGTTGGACGGGGCTTTGGAGCCACCTGGGCTAGTGGAAGGTGTCCCTGCCCATGGCAGGGGGGGTGGGATGAGATGGGTTTAAGGTCCCTTCCAACCCACACCAATCTGTGATTCTATGACCAAAAATCACTCATGAGCAGCAGGAAGGGACCAGGCTGCTCTGTATGGAGCAGGGACAGCGAGACTTGGGACCACAAGGACTCAGCACCAAAGGTGTCCCAGTTCCAAGGGTGGAGAAAACCCCCCCAGGAGCCTGGCAGGAGGCAGCTTCCTGCTCACAGGGCAAGGAGTGCATCTCCCAGCACAGAGCAAGGATAAAGACCCCAGCCCCAAGACACTCAATCAACACAGAGTTTTCCTAGAAGGGATGAAGGAATAAACAATGAAATGCACTGGAGAGAAAAATCCCCTCTGCCTGTCCTAGTGATTTATGCCAGGTTTGGTGGGTAGATTTTTTTTTTCCCCCCCCCCCTCTCTAAAGTCCAGCTGTCCCAGATATGGAAATTAGGTTAATTACGTTTACCTCTAAATCCTCAGCCAGAGAATTAAATAAAACAAGGGCTTAATTCCTTCATCATTTTGCAGAGCCCTTGGGGTTTGCCTCAATTGGAGGCCTGGCAGGAGCGTGCCGAGCTGTTTCCTGCTGTTTGCTCTCCCTCTCCCTGCCAGGAGAGGGTCTCAGATCCATCCCTCTGAGCTGGCAGGGGTTGACCCTTGCCTGCCACCCTCTGCCCACCCTGGAGCCGCCCGGGGCCAGCGCTGGTACAAAAACCACCCGAAAAAACCTCCTCCAAACCTTTCCCCCCCGTGCTCTCTCGCTGCAGAGAATTCCTAACTAATGGGTATTTATACTATTGTAATGTGTCTGTTTGCTCTCCATCCCTCTAATCATGCCTCGCCTTCACTTCATTAGCGATGTTTGTTCAGCTCTGGCTCTCCCACTGGAGGAGGTTGGGCTGGCGCGCAGCCAGGGCACTTGGGATATGGCATTATGCAAATCAGCCTCTGGAATCTGGATGGAGAACATTAACGGGCTGCCGCTGCCCCCCTCCCCGTGCCCCAGTGTGGGGGGAGAGAGAGCCCAGCAGGGCAAAATACACTTTCTCCAACATGTAACCCCCCTGCCCTCCCCCCCGGGGGTGCAGAGCTGAGAGCACAGCGACGTCTGGAATTCAAGAGCAGGGAGAAAGCATCCCTTTGTTTGGAAAATATCCCCCTGCAAACAGTCCTAGGCAGTCTAGACTAGTTATCAGGCTAAAAATATCAGGGCATTTTATGGCTTTCAGCAACAAAACCAATAGCGGAGAGACACTTTTTTTTACAAGGGCACGGAGTGGTAAAACAAGAGGAAACGGCTTTAAAGTGAAAGAGAGAAGTTTAGAAGAGATTTGAGAGAAATTGTTCCCTGTGAGGGTGGGGAGGGGCTGGCACAGGTTGCCCAGAAAAGCTGTGGCTGCCTCATCCCTGGGCAGGAGCAGCTCATGGACCAAACCTCTTTCTATTTATAATTTAACTCAGTAAAGCACTAAGTAATTAACTTCCAATCATAAATAACTTTTTAAATTTCAACTAACCAGCTCCTTACAACAAAGCAATGTTTGTTTGGATGGGGGCCTGCCTGAACTCCCGAATTCCTGGCTCTGCAAACCCATGCACAGCACTCACTCTTGCTCATACCTCATACTCTTGGGATAATTTCAGGTTATCATTAGCTTTGAGATGCTCTGTGTGTTCAGCCAGCTCGGAAACGGGGATGGGTGGGTGGCTGAGCATACCTAAAAGACAAGACAGCAGGAAAAGAATCTCATTTAATAACGACCAAAATTCACAACCGTCGCGCATTTTATAAGAAAGAAGAAACAAGAAAAGAAAATAAATTACAATGTAAGATCTGCAATGAAAGTAGGGAGGTTAGAAGAGAAGAATTCAGGGCTCGAAATTGTGTCCTTGGAAGTAAAAATAAAAAAAAAATTAAAAAAAAATCAAGGAAATAAAAAAAAAATAACAGTAAAATGAGAGTGTTCCCATGATGGCCCCATTTTCAATGTGTAAATCAGAGCAAAATAAAAAAGGAAAATCCAAAGAGCAGATGCGTGTTAGCGATTCCAATAGTGGACTTGGAATGAGCAAACGCTGCCAGAGGAACCTACGCAGCAAATGGCACAGCACCCGCCGGGATCGGGAACCAACTCCAACAGAAAAAGGGGGGGAAGGGGCAGGATCCAGCCAACCATGGTGATGTGGGGCAGGGGATGGGATATATGCAGATGTGGGGAAGCAGGGGAGGCTTTTCAGGGATTGGACTTGATGATCTTTAAGGTCTTCTCCAACCCCAAGGACCCTGAGTCGTCCATGGCGCAACATCGGCTCTGGTTGTTCTGGGTCTGAGGTTTGGCCTCCACCATTCCCAGGGTGCAGCCAGGCATGGAAGCACCAAGCTCTGGCTCCTCTCCCCACTCGTGGCTAGTGGATGATGTTCCTTCTACAGCACAGCCCTCCCTCCCAGCAGGTCAGGCTGTGCCGACCCCACCCAGGCTCTGCTGGGAACGTCGTTACCTTTCGGGATGGAGAGGCCAGAGATCCCCTGGCCCCTTCTCAGTCAGGGGCATTGGAACAATTTGCTGGCCTGGGTCACCTGCTGCCCCTGCAATCCTCCCCAACACTTGGGTGTGCTGGTACTGAGGCAGCCAGAGCTGGCAGGGAACACACTGGATCCTCTCTGAGCCATACTGGGGATCCTGCTGGGTCAGACTGGTCAGACTGGGGCCCATCTCAGCCACCCACGGCTGACTCGGTTCTCAGCCTGTGATTTGCACATCCTGCTCTGAAGGGGGCAGCTGGAGCTCTGGGAAGAGCAGGGATCCTTCCCTTCCTATCACCTCAAACAGCTACGCTACAAATCCAGGTGGAAAAGCGCTCCGTGCTCTGCTCATCTGCATTGGATTATGTTTTTCCAGAGGCTTCCCATGCTGTCTGCCAGCCAATCCTGCCCTGGATGGCTTGGGAGAGCAGCATGCTGAGAAGCCCTGGGCAGTGCCCCCGATGAGAAGGACAGGAGTGGAGAAGAGATGGAAGCCAGGGAGAATTTCGAGCCCCGTGGGTGTTGGTGGGTGACAAAGCAGCGGCGGTGGCAGCAGCATGGTCAGATACTCTGAAAACTCAGCACAGAGATGGCAAAGCAAGCATGACATCCTCAGTTTTACAGTGATTTGGGAGAGGTGCTGCCTCCCCCAGGCCTGGGCACGGGACGAGTCTGTCATACCTGGACAGGTTCCTCCTAAGCTAATGGGACATCTATTTTCAGCACAAGGAAATCCGGCTGAAAATAGAAAAAGGGGGGAAACAGACCAAAAAAAGCTCACAAAAATAACCCAAAGTACTCTGGAGGCTGCACTGGCTCCATTTCAGTCTGCTGGGGGTCAGGGCAGGAGGTGTCTCCTGGAGGAAAAGCTCTCAGTTCATCTCTTGCCGTGCTGTCCCACTGCTCCTGGAGAAGGATTTCTCCACCTGGATGGAGGGAGGCTGCTGTCCAGTCCATCCCAGTACCACAGCACCCATGTGGACTGGGGGAGTTGGGAGGAGCTGGTGGTCCTCTCTACGTCTGTGTGGGACTGGAAGGCCAACCTGGCTGAGCTGCTCCAGATCATGAGACCAGTTTAACACCATCAACACTTCCCTCAGGGTCTGTCCTTCTGCCTCTGGAAGCGAGGGCTGAGGAGGGCACTGAACACAACTTGAGCTGGAGCATTAAAGCAAAGCCAAACTCTACCCAGAGCAACTCCTGGCACCTCAGTCTGCTGTTCCCAGACCCCTGGGAGTCACTGACTCCTTCCCCCAGGCAGCTCCCAGCCCAGCTGCCACCTCCTGACTCCAAAAAAGCCAGAGATTTTGTGCTGAGAAACACAACATGAAATCCCAAGCGATGGACACACAGGTTAAAAGGAAACAAATAAACGCTCAGAAGCCCCAGTAATAACGAGCAAAAAAAAAAACCTCAGACTCTCCTTGGCTCACAAGTCCTGGAGCAACATGTGCTATTCCCTCTGAGCCAGAGGTCTGCATGGGAAAGGCCCACCGTGCCAATCTGGAACAAGGAGTTGCATTCCTCTTGAAGGAATTTCACAAGTTTCCTCCATAAAAGCTCCAGAAAAAAAAATCCTCAGTGTGTGACCAGCTCCTGAAAACCAACCCTGCCCTTTTGCTGGGGAACCTGCTGCTTCCCCTCCAACCTCCAACCACCGGCACTGGCTGGGAGCACATGGGAACTCTCTTTGCTGCTGTTAAGGACAGAATCTCCTTGGGGGATTGATTTCTAGGGCTTTTTAGAATAAAAGGAGACTGGAAACCTCTGCAGTGATAAACACTTCCCTGGTCAAAATGCCAAGTGCACGGGGGCTCCATTAAGATCCAGGAGTTTGGTATTAAATGAGGCAGGAGCACACCAGCCCCGCTGCTGTGTCAGCTGAGCAGCTGCTCTTTGCTTTAATTTAATAACTCATTTTAAGGTATGAAAGGGAAATGGCTCACAGGTTCCTCTGCTCAGTGGCTACTGCAGGGAACTCAGCCAGGGTGGCAGTGGGAGCCAGGAAAACACACACACAACCCCTCTGTTACAATAATGGGGTTGAGGGGAGGGGGGGTGGCAGCAAAGTGGGACAATAGTGACAGGAGTATTCCACACCAAAGAGACCAGTATTTGGACTGAATTATTCAGGAAAACGTCCCAGCCCTCGCATCTCCGAGCACAATCAGCACCTGCGACTCCTCAGCTGAAACCTCACATCTACTTCCCTGCCCAGTATTTAAAAAAGCCCTAAAAAAAAAAAAAAAAAAATCCAGCCCAAACCACCCAGCGAGGCTGGGATCTTGGCTCCTAATGGGATGAAGTCTTTCTGAGCCAGTCTCATCTAACATTTCAATCACTTGAATCTCTCTAATCTTATCACAAAAGACTTTGATTCTTTGCGCACCAGCCAGAAACGTCACCCTGACATCTGTTCCACGGGCCAGAGCCCATTTATCCCCCAGAGTCACCGTGGCTGGATGGCACTCCAGTGTGAAACCAGGGGGGTGGAGGCTCGTAGAGTGCCCTCTGCTCTTTGTGCTCCTGGAACAAGTCAGTGCCAAGGAACCTGCCACAGGGAGGGATCATCAGCTGTGGCTCCCATTTCCCTTTCCCTGCATTACAGACAGCAAAGCACACACACACACCCCCCACACGCTCACAGCGTGCCCACGGGACGAGCACGAGGGACATTGAGCTGCAGCAATGAGACATCTTCCACGAGGGGGTAAAGGCAGCCTTGGGCAGCCAAGTCCTTCTCCTGGGGCAGCAGAGAGACACCAGAGCTGCCCCGGGGGGGGCTGATCACCCGCTGCTCCCCTTGCCCTGCCAAAGGCCTGGTTCTGGGGTTACTGTAAAACTGGAAGCGCAGTTCAGACAAACAGATGGCACAGAGGAGGGGTGAGATGGGCGAAACACCGCAGGGACACGGAGAACTCGGCAAAAAAAAAAAAAAAAAAAAAAATCAAAAAGTAGTAACAGGAACGGAACGAGAAAGGGAAAGGAAAGTGACAGAAGAGAAAATAATAATGGGAGGGGAAGGGGGGGGGAAATGAAACCAACAGGAACAAAAACACACAGGAACTAACTTTCCAAGTCAAACTCAGGGTCACTGAGAGGGCTGCTCAGACCAGAATCTGCAGAAAACAGTAAAAAATAAATAAATAAAAGATACACTTTTGTAAAAATTTCATGCTAATTAAAAAAAAAAAAACAAACAAAAGCCAACATAAATCTAAAGAGGAAAAGAAAGGTATTTTTTTGTACTGATTAGGCTAGGACAGGATATCTAAGAGGTGCTGTGATTTCCCCTCTCTGAGCTGCACATTCCCATTCCCACTTCCCCCCCCTCTGTTTCCCTGCTGGGGACACAATGCAGATTCTACCTGGGGTCACCTGGCTGGAGAAGAGCCTACAAGCCCCTTCTGAACCACAGTATATTGAATTTAAAGGCCTTTAATTCAGACAGCCCCTGTGGTGTCTTCCTCTGCAAACTGCACCACCATCCCTCCATCGCCACCAACACACTCCAAGCTGATTTTTCCATCCATTTCCATTTTCACCCAACGGTCTGCAAAATTCTGTGGGAGGCGGGTGATCAGCTCTCCCACGCTCTTTAAAACATGTTGCTGCTTTACAAATTGCAGAGCAGAATAAACCAGCCAGGTCAACTCCGTGGGCAGATAAACTTGGAAAGGAAATGGCAGGTTGGCAGGTCTCATCTACCTTTTACAAGCCTCTCAGACCCCGAATTCAGAGGTGACCAGACCAGGGGGGGTCAACAGAAGACTGGCTCACTCATCCATCAATCCCATTACCTGATGGAAGCACCCTTAGCTGTCCTGTGGGACAGGGGGAATTCCCAGTCAGGGAAGCACAAGAACCAGCACTTCCAGCTGCTTCTTGGCACCAAGACCAAGCAAGACCACAAACATATCTTTATTTTTGCCTTAGCACAGGTTTTTCACCTGGGGGAGTGCAGCTTTTTCTCTTGGGTCCCCCCCTTCCACCTGGAGCACCCAGAAGCCCATGGAATGCTCCCAAAGGGAGCTCCTGTGTGCACCCAGGATAGCATTGTGCCCAGACAAGTGCAAACTGCTGCTGAGCTGCAGCTGGGGACACCCAAACACCTTCAGATTCCACTGCAGGAGCAGCACTAAGAGCTGATTTAGGGACCTACCTGAGCTGAACTGCTTTGCAATCAGTCCCTGCAGGCTGGACTGAACCCACTGAGCAACATTCCTAAGCTTGGGCTGATCCCCATGGGTTGTTCCTAACTCATTTTGATGTGAACCCCTCAGCTTGGTGCTGCCCCACAGGTCCCTGCCCCCTGAGTACCCACTGCCAACCTCACCCTAAGGAAACTCGGACAACGCTAAGGACAGGACTGGGATGGGAAGGGCAAACAGGAGCTACAGAAACGTTATTAACGAGCACAAAACAGCAAAATAAAAATACAAACGAACTGAAAACAACAGCCAGCCCCCAAAAAGCACAATAAACTCCCTTCCAAATCCTCAAGGGCCGGGAACTCGGAGGCAGAGGCGTGGGCAGGTCCGCCCAGCGTCCTTTTGCGTGGGGCTGCGCCTGGGCCGTGTGGGTGGTGGCTTTGCAGAGGTGCCATGCGGGCAGCTGGGACATGCATGGACATGGGGGCACGTTGTGTGTGGGAAGGAGGGTGCAGGGAACCTCTCTGCCTGGGAATTCAGTGCTGTTATCCACTCGCCCCACAGCCACTCCCAGTGACAGCTGTGGCTGCTCCATCCATTGCCCAAGGCCAGGTTGGACAGGGCTTGGAGCAACCTGGGATAGTGAAAGGTGTCCCCCTGCCCATGGCAGGGGGTGGCACTGGATGAGCTTTAAGGTCCCTCCCCAACCCAAACCATTCCAGGATTCCATGATGGCATCTACACCAAGCGAGGAGACGCTGCCCCGCCTGCGCCAAGCAACCAGCCACCTTTCCCCCTGCGCAGCCCACGGGCAGGCCTGGCACCAGAAAGCACCAGTTCCAGAAGTGGCTGGAGCTCTGGGTGCTGGGCAGCCTGCCATGCTCCACCTCACCACCCTGGGAGCCCCCAGTCCGAAGCACAGGGCAGCGCTGGTGCTCTGGCACGTTTGGCACAGCCACAGCTCTTGCAGCTCCAGAATGCACCCAACTCATCTGGGAATCCAGGAAAACCCCTCTTCCCGCCTTGGGAAGTGCCTGTGCAACGTCCTTGACACTCCCAGCAAAGGTTTCTCTCAGCAATCAGCTGAGAGGCAAGGCTGGGGGTGCCTTGGCTGCACCCCAGGTCAGCCCTGGCTCTCCAGGCAGTGCTGCTGCAGCCTCCAGCCAGGCAGGGAGGGGTTAAGGAAGGGGGGCAAGTGCTCCATTCCTGCCTTCCCGGGGTTACCTGGAGTCTGGAAGTTGATGCGCCTCATCTCCACGGGGTCCTTGGGGTGGTGGGGGGCGATCTCAGCGTTGTTCAGCAGGCATTTCGTCCGCGGCTCGGAATCTTTCCGTTTGCTTTGGAACAAAACAAAACAAACCAAAAAAACAAAAGAAACAAAAGAAAAGAACAGAAAGACAAAGCAGCTTAGCTCACGGGCCTCGTTGGTCCCTTGTAGTTTCCTCAGCTACTGATGTTCAGGCCTGAGCAAAGCTCCCACCGAAAATCAAAGGTGCAGCCAAGGGTAAAAGTGTATAAATTGCATCAGAAAAGGGAGGAGGTTTGGGAGGTTTGTCGTTGCTGCATTTGAGGGGTTTACAAAGGCCCAGCAGCCCCTCAGCAGCTTTCAGGCAAGTCTGGAACTTCCCCCCTTCTCACAGCAGCAACACAAGACAGGCAGCTGGGAACTCACACCTCCCTGCCAGAGCAGCCTCCACCGAACGCTGCAGAGCCCTGCAAGCAAAAACCTTCCAGTTCTGGCCAAGCCATTTCCAGTCTGAAAGAACCAGAGCCAACAGAATCATTTGGAAAAGTACAGAATCTCCTGGCCACGACCTTGGACACAAAGCTCTGATATTGCTGTTGGCTGGTTTAGGAGCTCTCAGAGCTGCCTTGCTGCAGACACAGAAGTCAGGGCAGCAGTTTTCAATCGTTTTTGAACTGCAGGACCCTAAAAATCTGGGTTCAACAGTGTAGACACGTCCTCTCCCAGCACAGCTGTGCCTGCTGAGATCCACCTCACCTCCTTGCCAGGACCCAAAGCCTGCTCCAACCTGCCAGCTGAGCTCCACATGGAAGTGCTTCCTAATATATTTTTACTCCAAATGGGTTAGCTTAGCTGAGGCAGTTGAAAAGTCTTTGCTGACCTGGCTCATTCTCCTTGAAAAGAATTTGGAAGCAAAGCCCAGTGCTGATCTGAAGACGTGATAACCTCTGGCAAGGGAACACTTATGAACTGTGGGAGCAGAACTTCTCCAGCCAGCAGAGAACATGGGTCCACACCCTGAGGCTTGGGAATGCTGTCCCAGCCCCTTCAGCGAGGTGGCTGTGGAGCTCCTCACCTCTCCTGCTTAGGGTGGACAGAAGCCTCCAATGATCTGCCTGCAGCAGCAATGGCAAGCACTTGGGCAGAGAGGAAGATATTCAGGACATTTTTAGCTGTCTCTTGATGTCATTAATAGTCAGAAGAAGTGGCACGAGCCCTGCCAGCACTGCATGGGGCAGCATTTTGGAATGACACCACTTTGCAGTTTGGGAGCAGTTTATTTTTGCCACAGTTCTGAAACTGCTGTAAATAGTCCATGGACTGAACCCCTCAGTTAGTCCCAATGAAAGCTCTCCCAGTCTTGGAAATGGCTGGAAATAAGTCTCATTTCTGCAGTCATAAACAGACTCTGTTAGAGGCCTTTAGCTGAGGGGGCAAGAACAGCTTCTGCAATGGGGTGAGGACAGCTCAGCTGCTGAGATCCTGCCTCCAGTTCGAGTTCCAGTAGCTCAGGGACAGCCAGGATGGAGCAGCCAGACACAGAGAAAACCCACTTTCACCTCTGACTGCCACACAAATGAGTGTTTCTCTGCTCCATTAACCCACCAGTTTATGAGCCATTTACCGTCCCTGCTGCTCAGCCTGAGAAAGGGCCGTTACACTCAGGAATGGACAAGCAGGAGAAAGCTGGGCTTGCTTGCCTTTTTCTGCCCCAATTCAAGCATAGTCCCATGCTTGCCTGACACAGAAAGAACAGATCTAAGGGCAGGAACTGCACCAAGAAAAGCCCCATCACCACAGACAGCAAACACCGCTTAACACACAGCAAGAAAGAACCTGAATAAATGGCAAATCTGGTGCTCTTACCTGTCTGGCTTGCTGTCCACGAAAGCAGTAAGTGGAGAGAAGACAAGACAAGACAAATGTTCAGGTTAGAAAGGACTTGCAGAGGAAAGGGGAAGCATTTGCTCAGCTCTAACCCTGGCAGCACAGGCAGAAGGTGGGCCCAGCAAAGATCACCCAGTTAGATCAGAGCTAATGAGGACCTGACTCCCTGAGCCCAGAGCAGCTTCACACCTGCTGGGATGCAGAGGACATACCCCTGTGCAGATCAAAGATGGAGCAGGGTTAAGGGAGAGCTCCCTCCACTCTGGGTATGAGATGTCCCAGCTAAGGACATCCTTGTGTTTGCCATCGCTGCCATCACTTGTTTTGCTCTGCTCCTGCTTCCCTTCCTGTCCCCTCCTGTTGCACAGTGAGGCCTTATGTGTGTTCAAGGCACCCCCAGTTCTCATCCACACACCATGAGCTGCTCAGAAAGCCAAGGAAAAGGGAGACACTTCCAGGGGTTGTTCCCTCCTCTCTCCTGCAGACTCACACCCTGCTCTTGTCTCCCAGTTCCAGCAGAAAACCAGCTGAAGAGGAGAGGAGGTCTCTGCTGAGCCACAGGTCAAAGATGCCTTCTCTGCATCCCCCTCACTGTGCCCACACACAGAGAAAGGGGGGCCTGAGGCTGTGAGCAGCAATTCTGGAGGAGGCAGGCGAGAGTCCTGACACACTCATTGCACACGTGTCTGTGAGACCAGCACAGCTTTCCTGAGAGTGCCACGGGGTAGAGCCTGAAGCAGCAAGTCCCTGCAACCCACTGCTAAATGTGTGTGCCAGGCACACCCTTCCATTCCATTGTGCCTCAGGGCTCCTCTCTCCAGTGGAAGGACTGACCACAGCAGGGCCAAGGAGGACATTCCCTTTGGGGACCAGGGCTGGGGGGGACACTCAGCAGGGTCTGGGATACGGGCAACGAGCAGCTCTTACTTTTTGTAGAGCAGGATGGCGATGACGATGCAGATGATGAACACCACGGCCAGGACGGGCCCGATGACCCAGATCAGGCCCTCCTCTCCATCGATGATGGGCTGTGGGTCAGGGTTGTCCAGCTGGATGGGGTCGGAGAAGGGACTCGCAGCAAAGGTCTGGAAGACAGGGAGAGGTGGTGGAGCACAGCCCAGAGGTGGAGTGGGGGCTGGGAACAGTGGGAACAACGGGCAAGCACACGGAATCCCACAGGAGAAATTGCTAGGGAGGACATGAGCTCTCTGCAGCACAAACCAAATAGTAACAGGGAAAAGGCCCTTCTCTGTGAGCACCCACATCATGGAATATCCTGAGCTGGAAGGGACCCACAAGGATCATCAGTCCAACTCAAGGCCCTGCACAGACACCCCAACAATCCCACAGCCCTGGGGAGCCTGTTCCAGTGTCCCTCGGGGGGAAGAACCATATGACACGATATCTTCATCCTCCAACACTCCAGAGGAGACAGAACACTGAAGGATCACACTCATGAGAAGCTCTAGCCTGCCTTGGGCCTGTGGCTCACCTCATGGTGTAGCCAGGACTGTAATCAGTTGACTGTGCCTCTGTTTCACCACATCTCTGGGCCCTTGCCATTGCCACAAAACACAAACACTTTTTCCAAGCTCTCATGTAACCGTCAGGATTTTGACAGTCAGATGGGATCACAGAGCAAGAGGGAAGGGATTAAAACAAGAATTAACGCTTGGCCTGGTGACTGAAAAAAATCACCCCCCTACAATTAAATACAAATTAATAAAATGCAGTATGCTCTGTTCCCTCTGCAGTGAGCTGGGCTCTTGGGGAGAATCAGAGGAATCAGAATCCTGGCTAAAAGGCATTGCTTGTTCTCAAGAGCACTACAGTCTCCCCATTCCAGGGAGGATGCATTCCCACCTTACAGAGAAACTCCAGAAACCAAACTGCACCAGAGAACTGGCAAGGCTGGTTTGGGAGAGGAGCCAGGGGCAGGACAAGAACAGTGGCTTTGAGTCCTTGAACTCCATCAGCCCTGAGCAGATTGGAATGCTGCTCCATACTTGGGAACTGCTGTGGATCCAGGCTGCTGTGAGAGAGTCTGCAGCACCTTGTTCTAAAGCAGAAATTACCACAAGCTGCAGTAATCCGATTGAGAAACCCATTCAGAAGCGTGTCAGCCTAATCCTTTAATATCAAGTACACAACCAAATATTTATTGGGGGAAAAACCCTTAATTTCCAATAGCTCCCTGCTACAATTCCACAGGGGGATTTAAAAACAACAGAGCATTAGGCTGTTTCCCATTGTGCATGAGGGAGGAGGCAGGTAAATATTAAAACAGTTGTTTTCATAAAGCCAAACACAGCCCCAGTGAAAACAGCAGCAATGTTGCAGTGGTAGAGAGCACATGTAGTTTTCCACAGAATAAAAAAGCTCCCCTTTGTGTGTGGTGGGAAATTCAGCAACGAGCAGGGTGCGTGATGTGCTCCCAGAGCGGGATGTTTGGGGTCATTGCTCCAAGGAATTAAAGGACAGGCTTTAAAGGAAAAGGGGTCTGACCTAAGGCTCTCTGAACTCGAGTGTAGTCCTGAGGGGATAGTTCAATGTTCCTCCCCATTCTGGACTCCGATTTGTAGCCATAAGTGTACAAGACTTGCCCAAGAAGACTGGGAAAATCGGAGCTGCTCGTGTCATTGGCCTGGTTGCTTGGAAGAGCAGTTTGTGTAATGCAGGCACAAGCACAAGCACCAACAGCTCCAAGAGCCACATCCAAAAGCTTCACAGCTGGAGTTCAAAGTCTTTACAAAATAAAAAACCTGAAGGATCTGCTGGGAGAAAGTTCTGGGGAATGCCAGGAGGGCAGCAGGGCAGCTCCCATGGGAGCAGCTGCTGCCTCTGCTCCAGCTGAACACACCCAGTGCCCTCAGGCTCCTCACACACCTTCCCCTCAAGGCCCTTCCCCATCTTCGTTGCCCTCTCTAAGAGCTTAACATCGTTCTTATGTTGTGGTGACCAAAACTGCCACAATACTCAGGGTGAGGCCTCACCAGTGCAGAGCAGAGCGGGGACAACTTACGGCCTCGGGTTCCTGCAGCACCGCCAGGATGAAGATGACGTATTTCTGCCCTGGCTCCAGGGCTCTGTTCTCAAAGTTGTCGTAGTGTTTCATGTCCCCCAGGATGAAGTGGGAGGGGAGGGAGCGGAACCGGGCAGCGATGTAGGGCTTGGGGAAGTCCAGCTGTCGGGAGTGACGGAGGCTCCGGCGCCGGAGCCTGGCAATGTCCTGAACCAGCTGCAGGAAGCAGAGGAACGCCCTGAGCCCCAAGAAGGGAGCAGCAAGGAGAGCCAAACCATCCCTCCCAGACTGCCCACAGCTTGGCTACTCTGAATGTGGAGAACAGGAAGCCCAGAAGTCCCTTCCCAGCTCTCAGCTCACCATCCCACCCCGTACAGATGCTTCCTCTCTCCCCGCAGCTGGCTCTGGTTTCACACTCACCTCCTCCAGGTCCATCTCCTCAGGGCTGCCCAAGGGGTTGAGGAACTGTCCTCCTCGGGACTTCCTCAGAGGCACCACCACAATGTAGAAAGCCCTAAGAGTTGGGAACAATCGGAAGAAATAGAAGGAATAGAAGGAATTAATCTCCTTCCACAAGCCACAGAAGAAGAGAGTGCACACACTGATGTAGGTCTGCCCACACTGCCCCACTGGGTCAACCCAGCAAGCCCCTTATTTTTAATTTAGCAGGATTGTTATTCCTGAAAAGAGCTGGATTCAGTGGCAGCCCCATGTCTCCTTATGTATTCCTTTTGCATTCTTTTGGCTTTCCCTGTTTAGCTCTGGGAAGCACCTCCGAAAGGTAACCGCCAGGAAAAGGCTGAAAACGGAGGGAACACTCGTGGGTTTGTACTGTGGTCTCCAGCCATCAGGTCTGAACCCCAAAGCAAAAACTGAGCACCCCCCACCTGCAGTCTAACAGGGACCTACTGGACAGGCACGGAGCTCTTCACGTCGGGGAGAATCACCACCACGTTGCCATCGGCATCAGGCTTGTGGGTCACCTCTGGCTTCTTGGACAACATGTCAGCAGCAGTCCAGGCAGCCACGTTCTGCTGCAGCCCCCCCATGCTGTTGCCCTGGTTCATCAGCACGAAGTTGTAGAAGGTGCGGGGCCTCAGGTGGGTGATGAGTTTCTTGGTGGTGCGTCCGTCCACGTCCACGTGCAGCCCGTTGTACTGGATCTGTGGGAGGGGGGAAGAGGTTGTTCCACGAGCAAGGCTGACACGGCCCAAACAGCCCAACTCCTTCCCCTTCCTCCCCGTTCCCTTGGTTTGCAGGGAACACGGGGGCACTCAGCTGTGCCAGAGAACCGAAGGGTTCGAGTGGGGAGCTCTTGATCCCTTGTGCCCACTGCACAGGGGCAGATGCAGGTCAAAGCCTTCAGGCTCCCCTGGGAAGAGCAATTTTTATCCAGAAACAAATATGGGAAATGGAAAAATTATTCTTTAGGTTGGGAAAGACCTCCAAGATCATGGAGTCCAAGCTGTGACCGATCCCCACCTCGTCACCCAGCCCAGAGCAGTGAGTGCCACACAAACCTTGGACAAGGTGTTCCTTGGACACCTCCAGGGATGGGGACTCCAAACCTCCCTGGGCAGCCCCTTCCAAAGTTTAACAACCCTTTTCATAAAGAAATTCTTCCTGACCAAACAGTAACTTGTCTAGGGAAGCAAGGATTTGGTAACAGAGATGGGAATGCAACCCAACAGCCCTGATTTTCAGCCCACTTCCTTGAGGTAGTGATTAACCATTACCTGTCCATATCTGAGGCAGGCATCCAGAATTCTTGCCTCTTACAACCTCTTATTCAACCCAACAGACAAGACTTCCAGGAAACTGAGAAGAAACACAGATCTGACTCCTGCATTCCACTTGCCTTGTATGGGGTAGGAGAGTTGTAGTTCTCAGGGAACTCCCAGCTCAAAAGGACGGATGTCTTTGTCACCATCTTCACCTTGAAGTTTTTGGGTAAAACTGCGGAAAAAAAAGTGAGGAGGAAGGGGAGAAAGGAGAAGAAAAGGCAGCAGAGGGAAGGAAGAGCAGAAAAGAGAAGGAAGAGAATGTCAGGTGCTGGAAGAGGGCCCTGCCAGGCTGGGTCTGGCTGCGGCTGCAGGAATGCAAGGGATTGTTCCCTCCTCCACACTGTGCTTGAGTTTTGCCAAGGTCCATCTCCCAGTGCTCCCTGTTCCCTTGCCTAACCCCAGGGAGGGCACGTGGCTTTGCCCCCACACTTTTGGGCCTGGGTGGCTGCTGCAGGAACGAGGTGCTGGCTGGCTGAGCATGCTCAGGTGAGGAAACCCATCCCAGCTCGCGGTCTGAGCGTGGGTTTTGTTTTGTTTTTGTTTTTGTTTTTTTTTTTTAAATTTCTCTCTTTAATTTTGGCTGTTTGCAAAAGCTGAAGAAAACGCTCTTCCCACCTGTGTAGCGACTGGCCCCCCCCTCCAGGTGCCAGTGACAGAAGGTGTCCGGACTTAACTTAGAAGAAAGTGGTAAAAGGGACTTACCTGGCACAAGGCAGAGAGGAGCGGAGGGACTGAGTGTGACACCACAGTGCTTTGCATTTACTCACGAGCCTGGCTGAGCCTGGCCTGACCTCTCCAGCTCTCTTGCCTCCCGGCACCAGCCCCGGATACAAGGGGAGAGAGGGAGGAGAAACCGGTAAGTCCTACCTTGATCCAGCTGGAACGTCCGATACTGGACGGTCGGGCTGTAGGGCCCGGGGCCTTTACTGGTGTGAGCACGGATTTTAACGTCATAGGCGGTGTTGGGTTTGAGGCCGTTGAGGGTGTAGGAGTTCTCTGGGGAGGGGGGCAGGTCTTTTTCCAGCAGGTTGCCGGGAGAACCGGCCTCCCGGTAGGCCACGGTGTACTTGACGATGGCTCCGTTGCGCTCGGCCAGCACGGGGGGCAGCCAGCCGAACTGCACCGACATGGCAGTGACGTTGCTCGCCTCGAGGATTTGGGGGTAACCCTTGGGGATGTCTTCGGGGGTGGTGAGTTCCTGCACAGCTTCCTCCCCGAAGCCAGCCCGGCTTTTCACGGCCAGCTTGAACACGTACGTGGCGCCCTTGTGGATGCTGTGAGCCGTGTACTTATCCTCCAGCGCCGAGAACTCCAAGGTGGCCAGAGGGTCGACGTCCTTGCGGCCAAACTGGAGCCGGTAGCCCAACACCTGGCCTTCTGCATCCAGCGGAGGCTCCCATTTCACCAGGAGGGTGTTCTCCTCTGTCTGGTGCACAGACAGGATGGGCTTTCCTGGGACTGGGAGAGAGGAGAGAGAGACACCTTCAGCCAAAAGCGGGACGAGGGGAGAGGGGATGAAGAGAGTCTTCAGCTGCAGCAACAGGGTCCTCGAGTCAGCGGCAATGTTCCAGCTGGGCTCTGTGTTCCCTAGTGTATTCCCCTGTAACCCAAGCTGCTCTCACCCACCCTGTGCAGGTGGAGGGTGTCTATCCAGTTTAGGAAACGAGGAGCACTGCCAGCATGTCAGCTGTGAGGTACTGGCACATTGCTGGATTTGTTTTCTTCCCTGTGCTCGGGATGGAAAGAGCACAGCTCCTCCTGTATCCCTGGACCACACACCTCTCCCACTGCTGGGAAGAACAAACTCAGGTGTCCTGACTCCCAGCCTCCTGTCCCCAGCAGGGAAGAACAAACCTGGAGTCCCCAAACTCCTGTCCTCTCTCTCTCTGTCTCTCCATTACACAGCCCAACTCATGCAGAAAGAGACTGGAACAGATTGGTTCAGGCTGGGAAGTCCAGAGCAGCTGAGGGTGAAGTAATGAAGGATGGGGAAGGAAGTCTGGGCAGCCCCAGGTCCCGAGCAGCAGGCACGGGGCCAGCTCAGCGAGGCTGGCAGGCAGCTCATCGCCCAGTTGGGTACAGAAGGAAGCACAGAGAGTGGAAACAGAGCCCAAAATCTGTGCAAGGCAGAGGGCAGGGAGAGCTGCTCCTCCCTCTCTGCAGTTTCTCTCCTCTGGAGGAAGCGAGAAGCCCTCCAAGTGCTGGTGTGTTTCCAGTGAGCTCCTCCTCAACCTGTCAGGGAGCTCCTCCGCATTTGGGGGGGATTTGGGGGAGCTCAGCAGTGCCATGTCTCTGCCTAATGAGCCCTGGCACTGCCTGACTGCCAAGCAAGCCCACAGCCACAGTTAAATGACACGTGCAGGCCCAGAGGTTCCCGAAGGCGGAGAAAGCAGAGCATTAATTCCAGCAGCTCACGCGTCATTGACACTCAGCTCCACTATTAGAGACCTAATTCCCTCCTCTCCGCCTTGGTATTTCTCCTGGTCGGGCAGGAGGAGGAAGAATGGAGCTGGGAGAGATCCCATCCTGCTCTTCCAGCTCAAGTCCAACCGAGGGGTGAGGGTTGGAATGCTGGTGTGGCTGGCAGAGGGAGCAGGGAAGGATGCAGGATCCTGTCAGGGAAAAACTGAGGGAACCCCTTTCTGCCTGATGCCTCCACTGACACCAGAACACGAGGATGAGGGTCTGTCTCTGAAACAAATGCTTTATTCCTTCCAAACTGCCAAAGGATGGCTAGGGAAGGAGCTGGGAGAGGCAGCCTCCTCCCTTGGGAATGCCTAAGGAACACATTAAAGAGAAAAACAACGCCATTACCTTTATGTTTTAGTTTTTATCACAAATGTTACTATAATCAGCTGAGCTTGAAAGTATTACATCTGCACAACAAATATTGTTCGGAGGGAAGGTGAAAAGAAAGCACAGTGGGGGGAAGTGTTTTATTTTGCAATTGGTTTGGACAGTAAAGGAGAAAATTGGATGTATTACTGTATTTAAATTCAGCCCCCAGCCCTGAATGATAAAGAAAGAAATCTCTCCTCTCAGATGGTGTATTGACTCAGCACTGCAAAGAAGGTAAGAATGTTACAGAGCTATTTGGAAGATATTTTTTTTTTTTAAATAGCCATTTCAGGTTGGGGGAAATTGAGTTTTGGGTAATAGCTGCTGTGCTGGAGAAAACATCTCTCTGTGACTGATCACCTGCACTGCAAATCCTAATGGGGAGAGATGAGGGAGGGTGACAAGAGAGAGTGACAAGGGAGCAAGGCGGAGAGAAAGGCTCTGAGAGAGGAAAATGGAAAGGCTGGAGAGCCTTGGGAAGAAGGAAAGGAGAGGAGAGAAGCAGAGAACAAGTGAGGAGAAACATGGACACAGCTGCAGGGGAAGGAGAAGAGGGTGAGTGAAAGAAAAGGCTTCTCACAGCACAGTGACACTGCAAGGGGTGAGCACAAGGAGACTGAGAGCTGGCACCAAAAGTGACATCTGCAGGAGTTGTGTCCTGGAAAGCAACCTCCCTCTCCTGTGAACCAGTCTCTGAACTGGGCAGGGGAGGCTGGAGGGCAGAGAAAGGCTGAAATCCCACTCACTTGTCTAAACAAGGACATGAAATGAGACAGGGATGTGAGTCAGGGCAGGGAAAAGGTAAGAACAGGGAGGGCACTGGCAGCTCCAGCCCTGGGTGTTCCTGGAAGGGCTCCTGAGCCCTCTGTCCTGCACACTGGGCTGAGTGTCTGAGCTGCCTCTGGAGCATGGACAGAGGTTTCCAGGTTAATTCTGCAGTGCTGGCAGAGGCCTTAGATCCCTGCAGAGGCAGAACATCCCAGAAACAAGGGATGATGTCAGTTTATGCAGCTGCTTTGGGCAGGGTGAAGACAACAGCTCCAGAACTAAGAAGTGAACAAACAGATTGTCAGGGTTGGGAAGTTACAGCCAGAGAAGTGGAGAGGGGAGAAAGCCCTCACTTGAAAGCAGGAAAAAAAAGAAAGAGCATGGGCAAAATGGAATGAAAGAAGGTAACCACGGTCCAACAAGAGATGGGCTGGGTGAGGGACAGTTCCAGGTTGTCCTTCACTGCACAAAGCCCTGCTTCCAAAGCAGAGCAGGGGTTTTAGTCATGAAGGCAGAACCCCCAGATGCTGTGATGGCAGGTGATGTGTGTACCTGTCCTTTCTGCCTGCTGCACAGCTGTTTGGGGGAGCAAGGGGCACCCTTTTGACCTTTGTCATTCCCCTCTTCAGGCCCTGCCATCCTGGCTTGGCACCAGTGTCTGTACTGAGGCTGGCAGGGACTGTGCCAGGAAGGTCAAAGGAGGGATGAACCTGGGTATGTGCAGGCAGGTCCCCGAAATGTGAGCCAGGAAAGGTCAATACTGTCAGTACTCCTCCCTCTGCTAGTGCTGAACACAGGGGACGTATATTCAGACATGATGACAGAAGAGAAGAGTGGGAGGACAAGCCACCACTGTCTCCTGCTGCTCTTCAGATCTTTGCAAGTCCCCACCACAAGAGCAGAGCTCTGCCTCTCCTGTCCCCAGCGTACCTGGGTGGGTCAACCATCAAAGCTACACAGTCTCTCCAGTTGTCACACCAGGCAGAGCCTCTGCACTGCTGGTGCACTGGAATTTACAGCGTGAGAGATTTAAAAGTGATGAATTCATCCTCTGGCTGTGCCTGGGCTTCCTGCAGCACTGAGGGCTGCACGTGAGGAACGAGGGGGTTCCTGCTTTGCTAGAATTAATTTGGGGGCAGCGCGGCACTTGTTGCGAGTGTGCCCTTCGAGAAGGGAGTGGGAGAAAAGGAGGTGAGTCTGGAGAAAAGAGCTTCTTGGCTTTAGGAAAGGGGTGAATCTCAGTGGTTCAGGAAAAGGCTCTCTCACCTGCACCCTTGGTGGTGACCACCTTGGGCTTGCTGCGAGCACCGTCTCCCTTCATAGTGTAGGCGGCTACGGTGATGGAATATGAAGTCTCCGGCTGGAGCCCAGCGATGATCATTTCCTGTTTGCAAGATTCCAAAGGAAAAGCACGTCAGTATTCAGGTCCACGCACACGGGCAGACCTTTCCTCCTTGCAGGAGTCTCAGCCCTTTTCCAGCATGCAGGAAAACACTGAATCCGAAAGCACGAGACACTCTGGGGAGACTGGAGCTGTGGGAACTGGCAGGAGGATGAGAGCCACAGGATGAGGCACACACAGCTCTCTGAACACAGCCTGGCTCTGCAGGGCCCTGTTCAAGGCGTTCTCCTCCAGATCTACCTCTCACACATTCCCTGTCTCCACACAAACCACTTCAGCATCCAAACACCGTCGCTCCCTTCAAAGCTTTCCTCTCCACTGTGCAGCCTCAGAGGAGGGCTCAGGGGTTTCAGGGAGATTACATTTTTTTTTCACCATTACCCCCTCTCTTCTCTCCTCAGAGATATTTTTAATGCCTCCACAATATTAAAGGGATTGCTTGAACGCAAAGTGCAAGACGACGTTCTTCAGCTCGCCCACTAAAGCTCCCTCCTAAATCCCACCCCCTCCTTCCCATCCTCTATCAGCCTCCCCACACCTGGCTCCCAGGAGCTTTTATTGAAACACTGGCCTGAAGAACAGCCCTTCTCCAGGAGGGATCCAGCCCTTCAAAGGGCTGTGTTGGAAAAGGAGCACCCGTGCTAAATCAAACAGGATGACAGCACATGCAGCAGGGTTTTCCCCAAGGCCTCGGAAAGGAGGGAGACGGGAACATTGTGCATTTTTATGGCTTTCCTCTCCCCTCATCCCCCCCCCCCCTTCATGCTTTTGATATTAAATCTCAGGGCAGCATTTGGGAAGAATTTGTTAGTCCTGAAAATAACTATTTCCCCAAAGGTGAGCAGGGAGTGGAACAGCAGAACTTGGGAACTGCGGGATTTTGATCAACGAGTCTGGAAGCTGCAGGATGCAGGGACAGGTCTGTCTTCTGGAAGTCAAGAACTTGTTCTGCTTTCACACCTGCCACTGAGTTTTATCAAGATTTTAGGCAAGGGGCTTTGCCTTTCATGAGACTCAGTTTCTCCATCACAAAAAACAGAGGCCCCCTTGCTTCTGTAGGGCAATCTCTAGGAGATGCAAATACAGTCAGTTTAGTCGTGGGTTATCTTAGGACCCTGTCATTCCAAGGAGGAAATGCTCTCTCCTACTGCTTTGTAGCTGCAAGATTATGGAAAACATTTATCATTTTAGCAGAAATAGTAAATGCCAAACAGCCAGGCTGATTTTAAGGTCCTTACAGGTAAAAGCACCAACAGTCATTCAGTGCTCTGTATCAATGAGCTTTTAAGAATCTTGGCCCTTTCAGGGCACAAAGTGTTCATGCCCCGTTTGTTTACAGCTCAGGACTCATGGATTATGAATTCCCAGTGCTTCCCAGCCTAACTAACTTTTCCAGACACAGAGGTGTTGCAGACCAGCCCAGATGAGCACCCTCGTCTAGTGGAAGGTGTCCCTGCCCATGGCAGGGAGTGGAACAAGATGGTCTTTAAGGTCCCTTCCAACCCAAACCATTTTTGAATATTGATATGTTGAAGCATTCCCAAATTCAAGGTCCCATCTGCTTCCCCATGGAGGGGCAGCAGATCCATCTTTCCTTTGGAGCCCAAGGGGAAAACCCTGTGGGGTTGCAGCGTGCTGACAAATGACACGATCACAGAGGGTCACAGATCATAGTGACGGGGTGGGGACAATGCATGGGAACACCATCAACAGGCTCTAAAACAGGCACACAGGCACTGCAAAAAAAAAAAATAAAGGAAAAGGAAAATATCACACCACAACAGGAAGTGGGAGAAGGGAAGGGACAGAACCAGGATGGGAGGATTTTTACTGTTTTACTTACGTATTCAGCAGTGTCATCTGTTTCCCACTGGGCAGAGAACAAGAGAGGTTTGGCACGTGAGAATACAAGAGGGGAAAGAAGGGAAAGACAGAGACACAGCATGAGGAAGGAGTCCCTGAGCAAGCAGCCACACAAGGTCAGAAGTTACCAGGCCAGCATGAAGGAAGAAGTAGAGTGGGAGAAATTAGTAGATTCCACTGCGGCCTTTGCCTGAATTAAAAGAATTCCCAGACACAGGGAGGATGGATCTTATTTAGTTCAGTGTTGGGACAGCAGTTCATACTCTTCCAAGTAACTATTGTCTGGGAGCACAAATGAACTGCGGAGAGACAACACACACCTCGTCACAGGTTCTCATCTGCCTTCTCCAGTTTATGGTGCTTGGGATGAGACACGGCAGCCGCAGCACCCACCCCCCTCAAGGATTCCAGAGGAGATTGGAGAGAGTGAGTCCTTACCTGGGCATCAGCCAGCATGATGTCCTTGATCTGGGGCAGCCCCCGGGCCTCTCCGTTCTCCATCCGGACATAGTGCACCTGGTACCCCCGGATCTGGCCGTGCTGGCGGTTCTGGACTGGAGAGCGCCAGAACACTTGGATTGCAGTTGAGTTCAGGACCTCCACCTCCACTTTCCGAGGTGGTGCACTGGGCACTGCAAGGAAGGGAAGGAAGGGGGGAGAGTCACTTGGGGATTCCCGGCTGGAGCCTGTCGCTGCACCTACGGGACATGCACACCCTGAATCTGCAGCCCAGAGAGCAGGGGGAGACCAACCAAAGTAGGAGGGGGAGACCTACCAAAATAGGAGGGGGAGACCCAACCAATCTAGGGGACCTAACCTGCGTGGCTTGGAGTTCTGGAGGGAACAAGTCCACCTCATCATCCAGCCATCCTTCCAGGGGCTCCCTGGTGCCCAGTTGGCTCAGATGGAAAGGACCAAAACAGTTCAAGATCCCTTTCCAAGGGCAAAGCAGGTTTCTAGCAAGCCAGGAAAGCTGTGGTCCTGCCCGTGGGAGGTCAGGGTGGAGAGGATCAGGAGGGGGACTTGCCCTTGGAGCTTCCTTGTCTCTGAGGCAGGGCAGATGGGTTATAACCTCTGCAGAATCTCAGGACTGCACACAAGAGATGTCTTGGATGAATTTGGGCTGATTTTTTGGAAATAATAACAATAATAATAGCGACAACAACTATAATACAGGGTATGAGAGCTTAATCTGCGAGAAAACCCCACTGCCTTTGAGCAGGGTCCAGTTGGGTGTGGGTAGAGGCTCAGAGAAACAGGGTCAACACTGAGGACAAACCTGGTGCTTTTTCATAAATTCTTTTGATTTGGGATGGAGGAAGAACACCTGAGAACTCTGAGATTTCCTTATGTTATTTACTTGACCTATATTATCTGAGGTCCCACCCTCACAGGGAGGGTGCTCCTCTCCCTTCATGCACACATTCCTGCTTTTTCCTGGTTTTATTTTACTGTAGAAATACCAGGGAAATTCAAGTCACTGAGTGGGGCCACTGACCTGTTGTCACTGAAGGTTTTTGGAAACTTTAACAGATTTCTCCTTTCTACTATTAACCAAAACTTAGTTAGGAGGAGCCAGTAACAAGGAGTGTGTGGGAAGAGCTCTTAACAGTTTAAAAAATGTGCTCTCAGGCACAGGGTGGGATTCTTGGGGCTGTGGTGTGCAGGACCAGGAGCTGGACTTTGAGGATCCTTGTGGATCCCTTCCAACTTGGGATATACTATGATTCTATGAAACCAGTTCCTGGCAGCAAAGGTCTCCTCTGATTCTGGTGCCTTGCTGCCTCAGCTGATCCTGGCTCAGTAAAAGGGCATCTTTTCATGGAAAGTGGGGCAGTTGGATGCTAAAAAGCCCCCCAGAAATCTGAGAAATGCCCCAAAGCAGGGCAGGACGACCCTCCAGACCCCAATACTCAGAGGTCTCAGGGAGATGGCAGCAAAGGGCAAATCACAGCTTTGTGTCCATCACCCCAGCGGTCCCAACCCCTCTGGGGCATCACCAGCCACCCATTTATTGCCACAGCACAAACAGCTTCACCAGTACTACACCTTGCTGGGACCTTTAACACCTGCTGTGGGTCTGCCTGGTTCTTCTGTGTGTGCCAACACAAAATAATGGGCCCACTGGGGAGCGGAGGTTGGGTGTGATCCCCCTCCAGCTTTGGGTCTCACACTGCGGGAGCCGTAAGAAGGGACTCGATCCACGGGAAGGGACTCAATCCACGGGAAGGGACTCGATCTATGGGAAGGGACTCAATCCATGGGAAGGGACTCGATCCATGGGAAGGGACTCGATCCATGGGAAGGAACTCGAGCCATGGAAAGGGACTCGATCCATGGGAAGGGACTCGATCCACGGGAAGGGACTCGAGCCATGGGAAGGGACTCGAGCCACGGGAAGGGACTCGCTGGCACGGGAACAGCCCCCTCCAGGGCCACGAACTCCCCAGGGGGACTCAGGGGAAACCCAGAAGGAGCTCAATTACCATCTTCATCCGTGCGGACGATAACCGGCGAGCTCTCCGGGCCCGGCCCCACCTCCGTGTGAGCCACCACCGTGACGCGGTACTCCGTCCACTTCTCCAGGGACTCCAGAAGGATCTGACTGGTGGTTGGGGGGATATCATTCACCTCCTTAAGCTCCGTGTCCTCCGAGTCCAGCGCTCGATAGTAGACGCTGTATCCAGCCAGGACGCCGTTCTGGCTCTCGGCCGGAGGCGGCCGCCAACTTACCAGAATGGCGGTGGATCGAGTGCTGACACATTTTACATCTTGAGGGGGGGCAGACGGTTCT